TTTTTTCTGTCAAGATGGGGTGCTGAGTGTACATTAATGAGAAATAAAATGAACTTTTTTGATTTTAGCAAATGGCTGCAATGAAACAAAGACTGAAAAATTTAAAGGGGTCTGAATACTTTCCCTACCCACTGTGTGTGTATGTATGCATGTATGTATGTGAGTGACAGTAGACGTTAACTGAACCTCCTGACTGACCAGGTGAGTCATGGTCCTCAATAAGAACCTGTAGATATTAAATAAAGTTTCAACATCTTCACATCACTTATATTTAAATAAACTTTATTCCATTTGTCCCTTGATTTCATTTATTTTCTATCATTGTATTTTGCAGATTATTTAATTGATTAAAACATTTTTGGTTATTTTTCTTTGTCTTGGTGGAGTTTTACTTTCTTCTTCTTTTTTTGTTCAGTTCTTCTACACCTTAGATTTACTCTTTTCTTCACTTCTGTCTTTCTGTCTGTCTCTGTCTTTTTGTCCACGTCATCTTTCAGTTCTTCACCTCCTCTTGTTTGTTGTTTCTTCACCTCCTCGTCACTGAAGGAGTCAAACACGTCTCAGCTGTCGACCTGCTTCTGTCCTCGTCTGCGCAGACAGACACCTTTCCTCTGATGCGTCAAGACGACAGAGAACAAAGTGATGAATCGTCCGATAATCAAAAAATCTATTCATACTCAGTCCTCTGATCTGATGCAGTAAAAGTACTAATACCACAATGTAGAAATACTCCGTTACAAGTAGAAGTATTATCATCAAAATATACTATAAGAAAAAGTAGTAATTATGTAGAACATCAATGAGATAAAACAGGAGAATATAAATGACCATATGAGTTAATTGTATTAGTTGATATGGATTTATTATGACTTGTTTGTTAGTCTTTTATCTTCATATTGTCTTCATTCTTAAACTCACAGTTTCTGCTGAGGACGTTTCATGAATCAGTTTCCTGTTCTGAAGTCAAACGAGTCCAGACAAGTTAAAAGTTGATAAAAGTAAAAAGTTCTGAGTGAGACTCATAAATGTTGGAGGAGGAACATGAATATTACAGAGCGTCAGTTAAAGCTGCTGAGCTGAACGCAGCGTTAGTGAATTAAACATCTCTCTGAGTCATAATGTAGTAAAGAGGTACGGAGACAATGGAGACGGGATGCAAACACACACAGAGGGGGGTCAGCATCCTAACAGACGGACACTCAGAGGACCTGAGGATCCACCGGAGGAGAGAACAAGTAGAGAAACCTGCTGCTAATAAGAAGGAGGGGTCAGGCTGTAGACCAGATCCTGGAGGGGATATCCAAGACTCCAGACTATATGCACCCTCATAAAGAGCATCAAGGAGGACCCTCCAGTCCAGCGAGGCCAAAACCGAAGAACTCAAGAGACCTCATGAAGAGGATTTTCATCACTAGAGACTCTCGGTTCTAAACGGGAACCAATAAGACTCGTAAAGACCAGTTAGTATTGATGTGGTCCAGAGTTAGCGGTTCTGCTTTCGATACTTTAGAAGTTCTGGAGTGATGATATACGGAGTTTGATCAGAAGAAGGGAAGCCTCCACCTTTACTCATTCTGTCCAGGAGATCCACCACCATCTCACCTTCAAGTAACACCTAGAGAGAGCGGGACCCTCAAGACCCGGTTCAACCTCTCTGAAGCCTGAATCAGGTCAAAGAATCCAGTCAAAGCTGCTACAGAAGGTTCTGGACTGTCTGACTATCTGGACTGAGGAGGAGTGACGTAGAGACACCGTATACGTCTCTGGTAGAGACCTGTCAATCACCGTGTAGCCCCGCCCTAAAGCATCCCCTGCTTTATGGTCTGTTTGACTCTAAATGGACCATAATGTACTAAATGAACATCATGCTGTATTGAAGAAGACTTGAAACTAGAGATTGAGACCATAAACTCATGTTTACAATGTTTACTGAGGTAATAAATCAAGAGAGAAGTAGAGTCATTTTCTCATAGACTTCTATACAACCAGAGGAGTCGCCCCCTGGTGGACACTAGAGAGAATGCAGCTTTAACACGTGAAGCGTTGACTTGTCTCTGTAGAACAACCTTCACACATCAACAGGTTCAGCCTGAAACGGACAGGATGTAAAGAGCTTTATAAAGGTAGCGTGTGTGTGTGATGTATATTTAATGAGATTAACATCTGGAGCGGATTGAATGGAGGACTAACGGGACGCTCCTCCACCACAGTGACTCAAGATCAGAGTGTTCAGAGGGAATCAAACCGCCGGCCTCAGACTGAGACTCGCTGCTTCAGTCTGTCGGACCTGAACTTGTGTCTCATAATCATAATCATAATAATAAACTGTTTATTGGCGTAGCCTCAAACTAACACGGAGACCAAACTACACGGAGCCGAGTGACAGAAATAACTAAACTGGTCACATGATGTGTAGTCATCAGAGGTCACATGATCAAACACATCTGTGATGTCGTTGATGAGTCGACAGTTTCCTGTTTTCTTTGTTCTTTGTTCTCCGTCGCCTCTAAAAATAACTTTCAGCTTCATTTTGATCTCTGAGACTAAAAATAAGTTTGTTTTAAAAACCAACAACGTCTTCATGTTTAGGGTTAAACAGAAAGACACTGATTTCATCACATTTCACGAACAGGTAGACAGACAGACGGACAGACAGGTGGACAGACAGACAGGTAGACAGACAGGTGGACAGACAAGTGGACAGTCTGTGGTGTGTTTGTGTCTCCTGGTCCCGTCACATTGAACCAGGTCTTGAACCAGGTCTTGTTGGATGCTCTGTGGCCTCATTTCTTCTGACTGTCTGTAATCTCTGTGTCTGCATATTTTCTCTGTGCAACATTCACCATCAGACTAAAAACAGGAACTATGAAAACCTCGACCAACACAACTATGACTTCAGGAGAACGCCCAAGGTATAAACTTGCATGGTCAGCTGATGCACGCCGCCCAACCAATGAGCTCGCTCTGTAGTGGCGGCACCGGTCCCCCCCCCAGAATCCGATCCAGAGATAGACTCTTATCCTGGTGACTCGTCTTTTCTCCACCATCTCTTTACGTTCTTTTGATTTGTCATGACTCCTGCACACGTGGGGGATGCGTTCACACTTGCAAGAGAGACGCCCCTCCTCCCCCCCCCCCCCCCCCCCCCCCCCTGAGTTTTTCTCCATGTGAAGCGTTGCATGCAGCCAGGCTGAGGCTTGGTTCTGTATGCAGATCTGAGGAAACACCGCCCACCAGGATCCTCGTGCTCCTTCTGCAACATCAAACCTCCTTTTTCTTTCTCCTTCCTCCTCATACCCACCTCTCTCCTCCCCCTTCTTCCTTGTCTCCTCTCAAACTCTTTTTCTTTTATTATTTGCGGTTGCATCAGCGCTCTCTAACATGCACGTCCCTGATTGGTTGGTTGATTGGTTGAAAGTGCCTCAGTCTGCATGTGCCACCACACCACGCTTCTTGCCCCTCCTTTCTTTGTACTCAAGCTTCGACTTTTGAGTTTTTATTTCAGTTCAGCAGCAGAACACTCCCCCCCCCCCCCCATGGTGGCGTGGGTGAGAGGGAGCATGGTCGAGGCTGGGGTCATGGGGGGGGGTTGGTTCACAGCTAATAATGCGTGTCCTATGATGTGTCCTGTGGTGTTTTGTTCTGCCGTGTTTCTCGATGTCCCACGATGTGACCCGCCGCGCTGCCACCTGTCGCCCTGCATGGTGTCCCCCCCCAGGCGGAGAAGGTGCTGCTGTTCAGCCCGGACACCAACCTGACGGCTCTGCTGCTGGAGGCCAAAGACCTGGAGGCCCGAGTCATCATCCTCTCTGCCAGGTTTGTGGTGTTTTGGTTGGTTGCCAGGTGGTTTCCATGGTGATCTGGGAGGTAGCTACCGTATTATGGGCTGTTGCTGTATACTTGCAGCACTGATACAGACCTCATCAAGGGGATCTGATCATGTTTATTGTGCTTTATTTATTGGAGCAGTGCCAGTATTTAGTGTAGAGGATGCAGCAGAGAAATGCATCCTGGTACATGTAGGCATTGCTGGCACAGGCCACGTGAGATGGTGAGGGTACATGTGAGATGGTGAGGGTACATGTGAGATGGTGAGGGTACAGGTGAGATGGTGAGGGTACAGGTGAGATGGTGAGGGTACAGGTGAGATGGTGAGGGTACAGGTGAGATGGTGAGGGTACATGAGAGATGGTTAGGGTACATGAGAGGGTCACCAGGCTGTATTAATTATTATTAGTATTATTATTAGTACTACTGTATTAGTGTGAACTGTTGTGTGTGTTTGCAGTGAGGATGAAGCTGCAGCTGTGTATAAAGCAGCCCGTCAGCTCAACATGACCGGCTCTGGTTACGTCTGGCTGGTCGGAGAGAGAGAGATGACCGGCAAAGCTCTGAGTGAAGCTCCAGATGGTACATCAGCCTGTGCCTCCTCTTCCTCACCTCTCTTCTTCCTCACTCCTCTCTCTCTCTCTGTCTCTGTCTCCGTCTCTCAGCTCTGCTTCCATCCGACTGTCAATATAATTCTCTACAAAGTCTGACAGTTTTGCCAAAAAGTCCAATTAGAGTGGAGGCGTTTGTATCAGTGGTGCTTCACAGTTAGCTGTGATGAAGCTCTTAAAATGGCTGTCACATGCCGAATCACGAGGCGCAGCTCATCAGAGAATAAACACCAAAGTCTTCAAGAGCTGCGCTCCTGTTGTTTCTATATTTGTACCGTCAGCTTTAAGCTTTTCTCACTGAGCTGACTTCAGATACATCAGCATGTCGCTGCACATCTGAAGGTTTGATTCATGCAGACGACACGTAAACAAGGTCGCTTTGCAAAGAGCAGCCAGAAAATAAGAAGTAAAGACAAACATGGTAGAAACTACAAGAGGAAAAGAGACTTAGCAACACTTCACCAACCAGATATTACTATTACTATATTATTATAAACACCAAAGAGTCATTAATAATAGCTTTGGTTGTATCAGGATCTGGTTGCTACGGCGTCCCTTTGGTTTCTAGGTGTTGGTCGCTGATTACTGAGCTTAAAGAAACAGGCGTCTGGCTTAAACAACAGGCGTCTGGTTTAAAGAACAGGCGTCTGGTTTGAAGAACAGGCGTCTGGCTTAAAGAACAGGCGTCTGGCTTAAAGAACAGGCGTCTTGGTTAAAGAACAGGCGTCTGGCGTAAAGAACAGGCGTCTGGCTTAAAGAACAGGCGTCTGGTTTAAAGAACAGGCGTCTGGCGTAAAGAACAGGCGTCTGGTGTAAAGAACAGGCGTCTGGCGTAAAGAACATTCGTCTGGTTTAAAGAACATTCGTCTGGCTTAAAGAACAGGCGTCTGGTTTAAAGAACAGGCGTCTGGCTTAAAGAACATTCGTCTGGTTTAAAGAAGAGGCGTCTGGCTTAAAGAACAGGCGTCTGGTTTAAAGAACAGGCGTGTGGCTTAAAGAACAGGAGTCTGGCGTAAAGAACAGGCGTCTGGTTTAAAGAACAGGCGTCTGGCTTAAAGAACAGACGTCTGGCTTAAAGAACAGTCGTCTGGCGTAAAGAACAGGCGTCTGGCGTAAAGAACAGGCGTCTGGCTTAAAGAACAGGCGTCTGGCGTAAAGAACAGGCGTCTGGCGTAAAGAACAGGCGTCTGGTTTAAAGAACAGGCGTCTGGCGTAAAGAACAGGCGTCTGGCGTAAAGAACAGGCGTCTGGCTTAAAGAACATTCGTCTGGTTTAAAGAACAGGCGTCTGGCTTAAAGAAGAGGCGTCTGGCTTAAAGAACAGGCGTCTGGTTTAAAAAACAGGCGTCTGGCTTAAAGAACAGGCGTCTGGTTTAAAGAACAGGCGTCTGGTTTAAAGAACAGGCATCTGGCTTAAAGAACAGGCGTCTGGTTTAAAGAACAGCCGTCTTCATGTGTGTTTAGATGTAAAAGGGTGTAACAGCAGGTTTATCGGTGCTGTTATTAAAATAATAAAACAGGAAACCTTTAACAAAATAGTCTTTGTTGAGAAAGAACTTAGATATTTAATAGAAACAAACATATGTGAGGCAGACTACGAGGAAGAAGGGCAAGGTAATTTTATAAAATACATAAAACCAAAAAATAGAGTTATGGCTGAAAAAAATGTAAATAAAAACCTCGCTATCAGTCAGTTGTTGGAAATCAAAAACAGCTCAAACAATTTAAACCAATCAGGATCCCCGGCTCGTCAGACAGGAAAGCCCGCCTCAGACAGGGAGAGCCAATCACAGCCCACCAGCGTACAAACAAACCCTATGAACCAATCATTCGACGAGGCGGTCGGATGGAAACATGGCCGCTCTGTCTCTGCCTCTCTCTGTCTGCTCGTGCTGTAGGTCTCTGATGAAGGACGCTCCTCCTCATCACAGTCAGTTAGTTCCTCAGCGTCCTGGTGTGTTTTTCTCTCTCTAGTTTCTTCTAACTTGCCGGTTGAACGTTTAAACATTCAGAGCAGAACCGACGACGTGTTTAAAGGTTCCTAACCGCTCTTTTCTTTTCTGGCTCATTGTAACTGTGTGGCTTTAAATGTGTCTAACATCTTTTTGTTTGTTTCATTTTCTATAGTGTGTGTCGTCCGCCCGCTCGTCCTCTCAGTACTATAACATGGGGGGGGGGGGGGCTTTTTTCGGGTTGGAGGGGGGGGGGGGTTATTTGATAACAGCTAGTGTTGCTACGGTTACCGTGACGTGTGTCTGAACAAACACTGGTAAGATGCCGCCGCTGCTTCCTGTTTCCTGCTTGATGCTTTTGCCCATTGGCCAATAGAGGCCCCGCCCACATGCAACATGGCACCCTGCCCGCCTGCCAGGGAGGGGGCGGGGTTTATTGAGTCAGCTGATTACCCAGCAGGCCAGACGACGTCGTGACGTAAACAGAGCTACACTATGAAAGTATGTGGACGCCCCTCTCGAGGAGGCCAGGGTCTGGTTCCTGGTCTGGTTTAGATCGTCCCCCCAACACAAAGCAGATCTTTAAAGAACTGGTTTGACCTCAGCCCCCTCTTACTGAACCAGACCTCCCACTG